AAATTGTAATATGCCACAATCCACTCATGAAGACAATTGTATGTAAGTATTTATTCCATAGTTAGACTAGGTAGCAGAACTTGATCAGAAAATAAAGAAGAACGAACTTGTCAAGAGGAGCACATTTTAAGTGGAAACGTTAAAGCCTTGCTTACTTTTCATGTTAAACATTGGGCTGAATGGGGATACTAATCCTTTCCCTTCTTCATACACAAGGAAATAGTGAAAACGTGAAGATTCAGTTTCAAATAACCAGTCACAAAAGGACCCCCCTCAGCCTAATTGCAAAGCTTCACTCAGCCTCCAAAACCATCTTTCACGCTGAACATCAGGTACACACTGCAACAAAACTGGGAGTTTATACCCTTAAAATTCCTTTGTGTGTAGTGTAGTAAGTGAGGAGTGCATCTTTTAAGGCACAAATTCATCACATACTTGCCAGCCTTGATCTTTCCTGCTATCACAGTCTGTGTTTTGGAAATACAGCTTTAGAATGGAGCAGTACTGTAGCAAAAATGTACTCTGTGAGCTGGAGACTTAAAACACTGAAAGGGAGGAGTCCAAAAAAGAATTACTTTCTGTTCCCTCATGTTCTTGCCAGTGAGCAACAGGAAGAGAGATCTTTCTTCCTTTTTCTCCTGCTAGCATCGATTTGGGAACTATTTTCACACCTGTTCTGGGTGGATCTAGAGCAGAATACTTATTCACTTGATTTGGTCTATCCCATCACAGTAATATACTTTAGTATTGTGCAAAGATAGTCATGCAGGACACAATTTTTTCAAGCATTTTCTCTACTGAGAAGATAGACACTAATCTTATTCTTTATTTTGTAAGAACCACCCAATTTATACTAGCCATTTGGGAATAAATTCCTGGGGAATGTCAGCCATCTCCAGTTTGGGGTTTAGGCTCAAATAGACTAAGTCAGCAGACAAAAACGTGTATGTGTGTGTATGTATTTATATAAAATGTGGCAAAAATGGCTTCCTGTATAAAGCTTACCTGCTGTCCTGTAGGATTTTTAGGCACATCACATGAAGTCAATTTTCTCATGGTCAGTATGAAGGAATGCTTCAGATGCAGGACAATTAAGAAAAGAGAAAAGAAATACTTATGCCTACCGTGTAGCATAATTACACTGAAAAAAAAGAATCCTAATCTAAAAGATCCTCCCGAGGTGTGCTCCTGAGATCAGTTTGTTAGTGAGTAATTACAGAGGAGAATCTAAATTGTCACCATGGTTCAGTAGTGCCCAATGACACCTATACGTTGTTGCACATTGGTGAAGACTGTACATTTAGATAATTAAATTTCTTGCTTGCACAAGTCAAGCCATGTAAGAAGGACAAGTACAGAGTGCCCCATACTTCATCTGAATAAGCCCCATCCATATAGGGATCCAGTAAACCGATCCAGTTGGTTTCTTTCATATGCCATCCAAGAAACTGGTCTGCTGGAAGAATGAGGAAGAGGAAGTGGTACAATTTCTACGGATCAGCTCAAGAAACGCAATCCACGTGTAAAGGATGGTATGGCAAAATACACGGAGGGCTGTTGGAGAACTGCAGTCAGGCAGCTGTCACAGTAGCAACGTGGAGACAAGAAGAGTAACATAGTGCGATGGTAGCTGATACACTGGGTTAGTAAGGTAAAGAAGAGAGTAGGAAGCCTACACTTGATACAGTCAAAAAGAAAGAGTTAAATAGGGTTGCAAATCCCTTGTGGTGAACCTACCACCAAAGGCTGAGCAGCAGTGCTCGTTGGGTGTGAGACATCCTCATTTCCTGCACTGTGCACATTCCCATCTCTGCAGAGAACCTGGTCTCAAAGGGAAGGAAGATTAAAATGCGTTATGACATAAAAGCTGTGCTGCATAAAGGAGATGCTGCAGTCTGACAAAGGTGTTAACTGTTATCGCCAGGCTAATACTTTATACTAGCTGATGCGGTCGTGCAGCTCGTGGTATCCTCGCACCTGACTCTGGATGCTGGTTGCTTAAAACCTCCTGAACACAACTTGACTGTGGAACAGTGGAGAAACTGTGTAGATTCAAAGTTGAAAGTAACAGGAATAAATTCATTCCTGTAGATGCTCTGGCGCCCATAAAGATGGCATAGTACCATCACCTGGTGTAGAACAAAAAGCTGTCCTGACACATGAAAAACAGTTAATTGAATTCACAAGTTCATTTAGCTGGTCATGACACACTGGAGATCATAAACAAATGTACATGGGACTGTACCCTAGATCACTGGGAATTACAGCTCAGGCTCTTGTGATGTTATAGAGCAGCAGTATACGTGGTGTCTTGAATAAATAAAAAGTTAGAAATGAAATAATCTGTATAATTGTTCTTTAAATGGTTGTGAATGATGGGCATGGACTGAGCTACAAGAGTGGCCTCTAAGTGACAAGAAAATTAAAAAAATACATATTTTTAAAATTTTTTAGGTTTGCAGAATAGTGGAGTTGTGCCCTTCTAGCGTAAGAGCATACACAGAACAGAGAGGACTTGGTCCAGGTTTATGGACAGAGGAGAGTAAGAAGCCCGTGGCAGTCTCAAAATACTCTTGAGTGTGTCTGTGGACAAGGGGAACGTATGAAGTAGAGAGAGGACTAGTACGTGTGTGTACACACACGTGTGTGCTCACACGCACACAGCTTTTGCCATATGTATGCTTCTCTTCTGACTCTATAAAAAGTAAATCATACAGGTTTTGTGGCCATGTGTGCACGCATACAGGCATGGCACACAACCTTATATTTTATGTTTTCTAGCTTTTTAAATTATGTAAATCTAGTGGAATATTTATAGAGTGTGTAATTGTTATTATAGAGACAGGCTTTACGTGGAACATGGGGTATGATTAGAAAAGAAAATAATTTGGAAAAAATATTTAATAATAGATACAAAACACTAAGTAATAGTATTTGCTAAATTAGTCTAAAAGCTGCAATATACTTTGCCACGTACTGTTATTCATTCACATATTCTTAGTTTTGAAGTAGAATTGTTTTCTTTCTCAGTACTCTTGTGGAATCCTAATTTTGTTGTCCTTGAAGTAATACTCTGTTTCATCGCCTGTGGCAAGTAGACATTTACTTATTTTTTTCTTTTATTTTTATTCAGTTTCTATTGTTTGCATTACACTTTAAGTTTCTTTCATTCTGAAAGAGCAGACAAGGTTTCAGGGGTGCTAACTGGCTTTCTCTGTCAGTTGCTGTTGCAATGATTTACCAATTCATTTTTTCTTTTTAATAGTATTTTAGTGATTGATTTGGGGAGGAAAACATTTGAAATTGTGATTTAGAGCACTGACGTTTATTTGAAATGCTTGGTTTCAATTGCAAATTTTTGTAGAGTGCATGTAGCAGCCTTAGTTTTCATGAAAAGTAGAAGTTTATTGAGTTTCAGAATGTGTTTATTCTATTAAACAACTCTTTAGGTAACCGGACTTACATAATTATAGTTACTAAAACCCATAACTCTGACATACCCGTAAATTTCTGGCAGATAATTTTTAGGATGTAATATTTTGTGGTTCATCTCTGACCATACTGTAATTCTTGTTGGGAGTTTGAGCAAAGTTCTTTCAATATCTGTGACATTTTCAAAGCTGGAGCAAAATCGATTTCTGTGTTATGTGATTATATCTTAATGACCAAACATGTGCCAAAATAGCTTTAAAATTTATGGTTAAAAGCTCTGCATTAAGGTTGAATTATTAAGTAGAAAAAAAATTGTTTACCAAAAGTTAAAAATGACTGATTGTGAGTTAACATTTTCTGTCATACATTTATTAAGTCTATGTATTCAGGACTAGATCTTACTTTTGAACAGTGCTAAGTATCTCCCACCGATTTCAGTGAGAATGAAGGTAATTGGTTGGATGGAGATTGAGGTGGCAAGTGGTTGTATTGTGCAAGAGAGGAAGCAAATTTCGGAGGCATTTGTGTTCAGTTCACACTTTTCATGCAGGGCTCCTTAATCAGAACACAACATGACTGATGGATCATTTTCAAAGACATTATTTATATGAGCAATTGGAATTGTGTCTATTTATAGGCCAGTTGCAATCACATCCGACTACTGGGTTTCTTAGCGCATTTATCATACGAGTGGGACCAGCAAGAACTCTGCATTTACGTCCCTATGTTGCCGTTTTTAATGAATAGTCCTTTTTAATGAAACTTCTCCATTTTGCTTCCTTGTGTTGGTTTCATGACTGCAAAGTTAAAACTACCGCTGTCCTTCCTTTTGAAGACAAAATCAACACAGTTTAATGATTAGGTTATGAAATTGCATGCTGATGCAAGTGGGTAGAACATACGTAAGTGGCTTAACAGAAGGGAATAATGTAACCCTGGGCTGGCTGGATTAATGGAAGCTCTTTTTTCCCAGCCATCTGGGATATGCATGTATGCTTCTTAAAAAAAAACAGATGTTTAGTATCAGAACTTTGAGAGTTTTTAACCTACGGTTTTATTTTGTGTTCCACACAAAATTAAGTGGGAGTGACATGACCGTGTACTTCTTCATATTCATGACTTGCTGCCTTTTTTTTTTGTTTTTTGAGGATCATGTGCAGTGAAGACTTACAATTCTGTTTTCCAGTTGAGTCATTGATCCTGTAGTTGATACACCCACAAAAATCTTTTGGGAACTGTATGCTGTTTCCCTTTACCTCCGAGATGGATTTTGGGGAATGTAAGTTAGAATTCTAATTTCTTTTTGCAGGCAACAAAACTGGTGACTAGAAAACTTTCTTTTTAGCCTTTGAGGGTTCTTTTTATTTTCAAGTCTTTCAAGATCTTTGCTTCCTTGAGAAATCCAATTTTCTTTATATTATCTCTTTTGTGCTTATCACAATATATAATTACAGTGCTAAACATTACAAAACAGATTGGAACAAGAGCCTGTAACTGTAATCCATTCAGTAGTGGTCCCCTACCTTCTAAAACCTGTATTAGACATAAGCATTTTGCACTGTGCCCTTATGGCCATTAAACTTCAGAAGTTTGTGCTTCATGATGAAGAACTGAAGGCCCAGAGTTGTTGGGTAGTACCCGGGTGAGGGAGCGACGACCCTGAACCATGGGCTCCATCTCCTCCCAGGTCTTGAAGCACCCTGTTATGCCTTTTCTTTCTATTATATTCTTGCAGATATAAGGAATGGCTGGGGACTACGGGGGACAGATGCACCACTATGAGGGAGCGGAGGCTCTGTATATGGTGTATCCGCCATTCTCTGGATCCCACAGGCTACCCATGCTGTATGTACAGTGCTTTTATGTGGTGTCTCTAATTCTTATATAGTCCTATAGTTATTACCTGGCTTCATCCTTGCAGATGTATTATGTTAATAATATTTAACTTCGTGAGAGCCTAAAAATCTTCTGAGGACCTTCTGTTGTGCCCACTGAAACCAGTGGTAATATTTATACTTTTTTTAAACCAATTTTTAACTGATTTTTAAAATTTATACTTTTCAACGGTAGTATGCTGGTGAGTTATGAATGGATTTATATGATCTAGAAGTTCTTAAAATTTCCCTTCATTAGCAGCTCACTGAAATTTGTTATCTTCCCTCTTGTACTGTGCCTTTTCTAAGTCATTAGGTTTTCAGTGGTGACAGCATAATAGCAAACACTATTCTGAACTGTTCTTGAAAAAGAATAAAAGAAAATATGAAAGACCTTTTTCTTAACTGAGTGTAGCATCAGGAATTCATGTCTATTTTAGATAGATTCATGATCATCAATAAATAATTGTGGCTTTCTGTGGGTTATACTCTACGTACACTCTACTGCATTGACACTGTCAGTATACCATACTCTTCCTCACTGCAGATCACATTATTATGGAATGGGTTATAGCACGAGCTGTAACATGCTCACAGAGATGCAGATTTTCTTCTGCATGGTAGGTTATTCTGTATCCTGTTCTTTTTGTTTAAAGCAGTAATATCTTTATAATTTACATCCATTGCTGTGAGACTTTGGAGATTTGAATTCCATCTTTGATCCACATGTGAAGTATTCTTGTTGCTTAGGAAGTTATGCATACCTGGTAAGTGCTCTATTTGCCGTTCTTTTAAATGTAGCAAGTGAAGGGATCAGGCGCCTATGTTGCACAGGAGTGGATCTGAGAAAGCCACGAAGGCCTCATCTGGTTCAGGTGTCTAAGGTTGCAGAGAGCCTCTTGGTCACTGCCAGGGACCAGCACCACTCTGTGGACCTCTGGGACCAAACTGGTTGGGGTGCTGTTCCTAAGATGACTCTGTCAAGTAGCTGCCTGTCTCTTGCTTCAGACTCATCATGATAGAGACAAGACCTCTGGGGCCAGTGGAGTTGCCACAGAGTCTGGTGACTTGGATGAAGCTTGTAGGTTGACACTGACTCTGTAGCACTGGCTTACCAAATATGCACTGAAATGTTAAGCATATGCCAGCCTTCTCCAGTTCAGCAACTGTGTGATTTACAGCTATGTCGGATCCCCTGACACCAACTGCGGATACCTCTGTAGAAGTGACACTTTGTGGCCAGTAGTTAACACGCAGCACTTCAGAAGTTCAAGAAACTTAGCATAACTTGTTATAGTACTGTGTTCTCTCAGCCTCCCTCAACACCAGAAATAATCTTAGACCCTGAGTGCTCTGATACAGTCCCTAGGATATGAAAATTAACATTCTCTTGGGCACTTTCTTTGGTGTGCGGTGGTGGTTTGGAAATGCGTCTTATTCCAGAAGGGAAAAACTGAGCTGAGGGTATAGTAAGAGTAATGGTCATTCATTGTACCTGACAGATTAATGGATTCTTCATGTAAATACCAAGGACCCAGTCTTCTCTGTTTACAGTTCAGCCAGTGTAGTACTGGATGCCTCAGTTGAACTGTTTAATTGTGAAGCAGTTAAGACGTATGTCTATCTCACTTCAGGATGTAGGCTCAGCCTTTCTTTTCCCCTGTGTTCTCCTGAGATGGTGGCTCTGGCTGGGTGTTCTCCATCTCATGCTAGAGAGAACAATGTTTAATGTGTTACAGTGGCCAGTGCTCTTGTCAGGTTACGTTCAGGTGAGTGGAAGGTTACCTTAAGATTTCTGTAATTAAAACATGGACGCCCTATGGGTATTTTGCATCAGTTGTCTGCACTTCTGCTGTTGCTCCCCCGTAATAATGTCATTCTGATATCTGACTTTCCTAGAAATGCTGTCTTTTGCCATTTTACTGCCTGTAGAATTGATGAGGAAACATCGTACTTTTATGAATGTGGACTTTCTATGCTCTGATGCAGTTCATCTGTTCATGGTGATGTTAAATGCCTGGGAAATCTTAAAAAAAAAAAAGTGTGTGTTTACTTTCATTGTTTTGATTCTGACCCTCAATTTATCAGACTGTTCTGAAAGATGGCAACTTATGGAGATCTTGTGTTGCCTTTATCCACTTTTCTCCGACTAACAGGACTCCTTGCTGAAGCCCAGATTGCTTTCACAGTACTCTAGGTGTGTAGGTATGGCCTCAAGGTTTGCAGCAGCTGCTGTTTTCTCTCTAGGGCATTGTGGTTTAGAGTTTTGGCCTGTGTAGAAGCATGCTGGCTTTTGTTAGAATCTTTCATATGATGGCTCCTCTTTTTTGCAGTCATCAGGACAATGTCCTGGTTTCCTTCAAAAAATGTGCAGGCTGTTGTTGGATGTGTTGAACTTTTTCTATTTTGCTTCATTCTGTGCTTTTGTCAGGGTGGGCAGCCTCAGCTAAGGCCTCAGATGGTTAAATTTAAGGCAGTATCTGTAAAATAATAGTTTCAAATGAACTATGCAAAAGCAGAAGTTTCTTTACCATAAAATAGTAACAAACTTTGGTCTCTTTAACCTGTTACAAGTGTTGGGACATTAACACCAATAACGTGCTCAGGGGTACAGTTGATATCCTTTTTGCCTTCTATGCATTTGGCCATCTGCAGTTCCTGCAGTCTTCACCAGCATGCTGAAGGTAGATGCTGCTTATGTTAAACATTTGGAAGGATTTCTTTTTTTCTTATTTTGATGATCATTCTTCTGTATATCCCATTATTAACCAGACTTTCCAGTTTCTCCATATTATCAATATCTTTTTGTGCATCTCGTTCCCAAGATAAGCATTTGAAAGCTGAATCTTGTATCATCACAGGCTATAAAGTTCACTTGATCAGTTGTTGACTCCAGAACAATAAATTCTAGTTTATTCTAACTGTGAATCAATGGTTTACCTTCTGGTCAGCTGCTCAGCATCACTGTCTCCTGTGACAAGTGGCATGTAGAATTTTTGTGATATTTCACCCTAGATTTTACTTCCAGTTCAGGCTGCATTGTAATCTGTGATAAATCTATACAGCAAACAGGTCACTGCTTCTGGTTCTGCAACACTTTTCTTCTGACAGGGCCAGGCCAAAATCTGCAAGGGAGTGTCTCCAGTTTTTTCGGCCTGGCCCTGTCAGAAGAAAATCTGCAAGGGAGTGTCTCCAGTTTTTTCACACATCTTTAAGAACAGTGACATCAGATGTGTCCTTTATGCAATGACAGAAAACCTTGAGTTTTCCTATGGCACTTTCTGAAGTGGTTCTGTAGTTACTCTTTTTGATAACCATTCAGATACCCTTTGCCAGGTGATTAATGGCGACTTGGAACTACAGATAATGTGAATATACTTGTGGACTCAAAGTAAAAAAGGTAATTTCCCAATGACTGGATTCTTCTGGATCTTGGCATAATTCAGATTGGGTAGAACCTTAGGAGGTCTTTAATCTAACCTCCAGCTCAAAGCAGGCCAGCTCTTAGATCAGACCAGGTTGCTGAGGGTTGGTTCTTGAAAACCTCCAAGGACAGAGACTGCACAACCTTTCTGGGCAACCTGCTCCACCACCTGACTGGCCTCATGATGTAAAAGTTTTCCTTATATCCAGTTTGAGACTCTTGTGTTTCAACTCATGCCTTTGTCATCTTTCCACTGCACACCAGTTTGCAGAGCCTTGGTGACCTCCCCATACGTACTGCCAGGCTGCTGTCAGGTCCCATAAAGCTGTCTCTTCTCCAGGCTGAACAAGCCCAGCTCCCTCAGCCTCTGCTTGCATGATGCTTGACCATCCTGGTGACCTTTTGCTGAGCTTGTTCCAGTTTATCAATGTCTTTCCTGTACTGGAGTCCCCGAAAGTTGACCCAGTATTCTAGATGCGATCTAATGAGTGTAGACTAGAGGGGGACAATCACTCTGCTGTTCAGAGAGCCCAGGAGGCAGTTGTCCTCCTTGCTGCCAGGGTACTGCTGGCTCATGGTCAGCAGCTGTCCACCAAGACCCCCAGGGCCATTCCAGGGGAGCAGCTCCCTGAGCATGGGTTGCCCAGCCTGTGCTGTTGCAGGGCGGAGGATGAGGACAAGGGATGTTTGGGGGCATGTGCCTTTTCTCAGGGTAGTCTAAGATGAAAAACGTTCACCAGACTTGAATGATCTATACACTGGCTTGTGTGTACTGTGCATCTCTGAGAGCTTCAACTAGTTCTAAGTAACTTTACCTTTGCTATACGGGTCAGCACATTGAAAGGCCCCTGAGAGAGTGAAAACCCCATATTAATTTATAAGTGGTTACACTACACGTAGTACCTTCAAATTCATTTGTCACAGTATTCCAAGCCTGGCACTGTTTATTTTTAACACTTGTATCTTTTAATTTTTATTGCTTTTTATTGTCTTCTATTTCTTTGGAAAGTTTCATTTTAATACATCAACAGTGGATTCCTCCGTCAGCAAATAGTCTTGTTCATTCTACTAGAATATTTTTCTTATCTCCCAGCTGTGCTGCTATCTTGGTATCTTTTACACTGGATGATTATTTAATCATTAAACTTGAAATTTCTAGTGTCAAGTGTCAAGGGAACTGTATACAAATTAAATCAAGAAGTTCTTCAGCACTGGTGCTTAAACACAGGACATTTATAAAGGAATACAATTTCCTTGGGATTCCTTCAGCTTTCTCTGTGGCCTTGATTATTCCCTCTAAGTTTTATCTCTAAAAGAACATTCTGTTACAAATGAATGTTTTGGCTGAAGAAGCTAGATGCCTCTCTGTCTTACCCTAAGGGTTCATTTATTCTCCTGTGATATTTAACAGAGTTGCTGCTGATGAGCACCTGTAGGTACTTCCTTTCTCAGGAGAAAAAGACTGAACTGTAAGCCTGAATTCTAGCACCCTGCAAAGCAAGATGTTAACTCTTTGTTTGACTTGTGCTGTAATTCTAAGAGCTTTTTTGAAAAGTGATCACCTGGGATACACGATTTCCTAGGATATTGGTTTTGGTTGGTCATTAATTGTCAGGGAAATGTAAGGTGTCTGGCTCGAGCTAGGACCTTTATTTTTTTCCTACCAAATTTGAAGGAATCATAGTTTAGAGAGAGGGCATAGGTTGTTACTTGTCATCTCATGAAGTAAAAAGACACACAAATCTTTCTTCCCTTGAGGAGGAAAGTTCATTTCTGTATATTTTTTTCATATATAATTGACCAAGAAGAAACTGAGCTGAAAGCTGGTGTTTTCTGGTGTGGATTCAGTTGCTGAGAAGGTTGCTGCATTCCCCCTTATGAGCTTTCTCCTGATGCCTGGCAGTTTCATTTTCTGCTGAAACAGTGTACAGTCGTGGTTGTGCGGAGGAACTCAAGAGCCAGTCCCAGTGGAGATCCTGCATATCGAGACAAGGAACTAGGAGTTGAGGTTTGTGTAAAACAAAGAACTGTACAGAAAATGGAGAACACTGGAACAGGGGCTGGAATTCAGCAGCAAAGTATTTGTGGCAATGTGGTCAGCTTTTTCCAAGATAACGTGATTTAATTATTAGAGATTTTTTGCAGAAGTCTGGAGGCCGTTCATGCACTTTGGTCCTTTCTTCCTTAAGTGGAAAGAATACAGTCTTTCTTGGTCAGCTGCAGGTGGACAAGTGTGTGTATGTCATCACAGCCATTTGCGTATGGAGTAGACTGGGAAGTCCAAAACAACTCTCTTAACAGTCTGGGGGTGTTTGAGGTCACATTGCCGGAAGATCAATGATTTTCTCCAGCATACGTTATGTCAGTTTTCCTGGGTTCATGTTTAGGCAGCTTCTCTTCAAGTGCAACATGATTTTTAAGTCGGTATTGAGAAAATAGAGTTAAGTGTTGGTGACCAACATAAAAGAATAATACAATTTGAAGTATGCTATGTGATTATGGCACCTCATCCAGCCTTTCTGCATCT